CTTTCCCCTTTTATTCCAGGGGATCCACATTCTCCTCTTTCACCCTTTGTAAGAAACCAGAAAGGTTACAGCTAAACAAGGTGTTTAGATTACAATATGTGCATTAAAGACTGTGCAAGCAGTTCAGTAGCACAAGAGCTTTAGTAGATTCTGAGGACCTCAGAGTAGCATCATTAGATATAGTCTGTAGAAGATATGGTCTGCTCTACTCATGGTAGATATTTTTCTCTCTGAAAAGGAGGCCTACGAAATTTCCAGCCTACTTTGTAAGAGGATAAATACATTTAATAAGTTTTGCTGTATTTCTCCACCACGCTGCATTGCCTCCAGAGATCCTCTCTATATTCAGATTTCATTACTGTGATGTCTGAGATTTTCCTGAATAACAACTGTGAGATTGTATGAATGGAATGAAGAAAGAGAATTACTAATGTGTTCCACTGATGATTTAACATATCAATACATGTATGAAAAGTATGAGTCTGCTTTTCCCTTTTCCATTAAAAGTTTCCATAAAATTGACTGAAGGATTTTTTAAATGAATACAAAGATTCAGAGAGGCACTGCTTTTATTAACAATCATTGTAGGGACATAAGTGTCCAAACCAAGCAAAGTCAAAATGGGATTATCTCTATTTCTGTTCTGGCTATGATGGTCTAGTTTGCAACGTAGATTTTGGCTCTAGAATCTTGAGACTCATTAAAGTGTATAATTTTTTCACCTTCTTGGAGAGCCTATCTTGAGATTTTTTTTTTTATTTTTTTTTTTTATCAAGCACTAGCCTTTGCAAGTTATAATTAGCTTAAAATTAAACTTCCTTGTGGTAAGATTTTTAAAAGCTAATGATTGCCATATCTATTTGTGTTTGTAGTAAACAATTGCACATTCTTTCTACTTAACCTGTTATTCAACCCTCAACCTTCTTTTTCTTCCAGCAACTTTATTTCCAGTCTTTGACATATTTCTTTTTAAATTTAGATTACATTTTCTAATTTATTTTTTTTTTAATTCCAACAAGCCAGCCTGCAAACATTTACATAAATGATGAATTTACTTCTAGGGATTGCATTAGGAGTTCTGATGATAAAAAGACAAGACAAGCTCTTCTTTCCATTCTTTCACATACACTGTCAGGAAGTGACAATCTATTTTCAGACTACTTTTATTCTATAAAAATCTTACCTTGTCTCCTTTGTAGCCAGGAGCTCCCTGTTTGAAAATTTTTTTTAAAAAAAGGAAAAAAAAAATCTTAAACTGAATTGATCTTATGCAGAGTAGTGTTAATCTTTCTACTGTAAATCAACAAGAATTCAAGCTGAGAAATATGAGATGTCAGAACCATTGGAGAACTATCTAGATGTTTTTAGTCATGATATTTTCAGTTCTATCTTTGGGGTAAGTCTAATGCAAGTCAATACAAACTCACATAGCTTTAAACGTTCCTTTTGTCAGTACCATCCCATCTCTAAGCATATGGTTATACTGTGTACAGTACACATGCTTCTCTAAACCTGAACTTAGTTTAGGTGCTCTAAATAACTAAATAAAGTAGATGTGTGAAAAATGGAAAACACATTTGCAGTTCAGTTGAACTAAACTATGAATCAGGATCTGGAAGATAATCTGAAAAGACCAAATATGAGTTAACACTAGTAGTCACATACCTCTTCACCTTTTTCTCCACGATCTCCTTTTTGAGCATCACCCTATTGGAAGCAAAGGAATACAACTGAAATACATATTGCTCTTTTATTTACCAGTATTACATTAAAACCAAGAACACTGTTTAAGGAGCAGAAGTAGCTTTTCCTGTTTACAAACATTCACACTTCCTCCTCCCACAATCAAGGACAAACAATTCCTGAAGATTAACATAGAAAGCTCAACTACTGTTATATAGATAACTGAAATCTTAGTCATCAGAGCAAGCGCTCTGCTCAAGAGATTTGTGCACTGTTAGAAAGCTCTGTGGAGCTTACAGAGCCTTCAGCTAGATTCAGGGACCTCTCCTGTCAGAGAAAAACTGGAATGATAGGCAGTGTTAACTTGGTAGCAGTTTAGTTTCAATTTTTTTTCTCTCACTTCTAAAGCAGCTACCTATAATCCTCTCAAAGCAAAAGCCAATCTTTTAAATCATATTTTAACTTACTTTTCCTCTGCTATATTCACTTCTATGTTTAGAATAAAACTAGATAGACATTTGCTCTATATTTTTTAAATTCACTTTACCTTGTTTCCTTTTGGTCCTGGCTCACCTTTTTCCCCTCTGTTACCAGGACTGCCCTGAAACAAAGCAGGAAAATGCTATTACTGTTTTGAGGATAAAAAATTCTAGTTTCTCTAAGACTGTATCTTGGGGGCAGGCCAAAATCATTCTGGAAAAAGCTTATGTAGAAACATACACTGAATCAGGTATGGCACATGTGACACTACTTTCAATTAGTTAAAAAAATCTGGTATTATAAGGTATCTGTGATTTTTTTTAATCTATATTCAATGATAAATACATTTTCTACAGAGCATTTGAAAATCTAACCAGGAAGGTGTCACAGAAAACATACACAGTTCCTCCTCCCCATTTTTCAGAATTACCCACCACTACCTGGTTTTCTTTGCTCAAAAAACACCTGTGCACAGAACAGCTTAGTGTTCAGCAGTCCCCCGTCTGTCCCCCCCCCAAAAAAAAAAATTTTTAAAAAAAAATTACTACACCATTATTCCTGTTTGGAGGATCACAAAGGTAGGGACTAGAAAGCTTGCTGTATATATATGTATATATATTTTTAAATATATATATAATAGGTTACATCTAATCATTTTGGATAAAATAAATTAAAATTTTTGGATCTTCAATTTTAAATTTGAAATATGGGTTTTAGTTCCAGATGCACATTATCCAGAGCCAAGGGACTGGATGATAGGCCCTGTTGTCTTAACCTGCTGCACATATGGCTGACTAGTGTCTAGGGAGAAAGGCAAAAATCTCTGTATGTACCTTGATTGTCTCTGGGGGAGCTCTTAAGTATACAAAAGGGATCAGAGCGGTCACTCACTGTCTGAACTCCCACTTCTCTCTCCTTGACCAGAGCAAAGAAACAGTTATGTGTTGAAGTGTCACAAAAGAGAGTGCTTGAGGCAGAGTTTTAGACCTTTCTTCAGACATGCAATCACCTTCAATCTTTTGAACTTTTATCCCTTACAAATAGAAGCTGTTGGTGGAAGTAAACATTTGTCTAATGGATCTTCCCTTCCCCATTGAAAGATTCAAGAATAGCTTTTTTATCTGGGCTTCAAAATCACGTAACAATTTATCTACAGTGTTTTATTATCCAATAATATAAACATATTTCCAAGATAGTATGTGATCTTGGGACAGATTTTTTTCTGAGCTCTCATAACAGTAGTCTTTCACAATGATATGCTATGATACGTTGTTCTGCAGTACATGTACAGCTCGTGTCTTGCTTTTTACAGACATAGTAACCAATTAAAACTGATCTCAACAATGAACGTTCAAATTCTGGAGGCTTTTCAAATGAATGCATACTTACAGAATCACCTTTTTCTCCTTTTACTCCCTTTTCACACTCACAGTTCTTCCGCATACACTAAAAGGTTAATAGAAAAATTAAGGAGAACATTTTTCAAATGAATTACTTCAAATTTTAAATTTTGTTTTGCCTAGCCACAGACTAGAGAACATAGAAGCGGAATAACAGGAAATAAATTATCTTCTCAAATATATATATATATATATTTCTTATATAAATAATATTACACTTTTGTATATCCCAGTCAAAATCAGTTGCTTGATTTATTTATAACAAAACCAAATAAATCTGTAACTACAAACATTTAAGATAGCATTTACATAGCAAATAGCACCATGAGAACTTACATAATTTTTGGACCATTTTGACATTGCTATTGCTTTCTAATGAGACCACTAATAAATTTGCATGTGTTGTACTAGTCCTATTCCACTCTGGTAGGAAGAGTTCTTCATGTCTTAACGTTGGTATTACCCACTAATAAACAGAAGCTGTAGATTTATCAAAAGAAGGGATGGAAGACATGGATGAAAGTTAAAATAAAAGTGACCATGGTCAGAAGCGTTACTCAGGGAAGGAGGCTGATTAATCCTGTAGTACTGTCGCATTATAGAAGAAGACATCAGGAAATCTAGTATGAATAAGAGTAACCAAGATACACAAAACTCAAAAAACTTACCCGCTTCTGAAGCAAGGCTTCCTGAAAAGAAAAGAAGAATATTGCTTTCATATACATTTAAATTAACAGAGTACTAATTTAACCATTTTTCTCACTAGTTTACAAAATTTCCAAGGTGAACGGTAAAAAAGTGAATACCTTCATTCTTCATCCCTTCCTCACAGTGGTAAGAACCAATCTGTGGAACTACTTGTATGAAAAAGGGTTCTCCAGTAGGAACAGAGGGTTACTTCATGTGACTCATAATGATCAGAAAACTAATTAGATATAATGGGACAACTAAACAGACAATATTAAGAAACAATGCTAACAAGGGGAATATGAAAATACTTCCTAATGAAGGGCCTTACTATGGAAGGCCTTACTAACAAAATATATAGAGGAAGGACTCCGTAATTTTATCAGCCTTAAACATGGAAGCAAGCACACATACAGGCTGGGCAGAGAATGGATTGACAGCAGCCCTGAAGAGAAGGACTTGGGGATACAGGTGGATGAGAAGCAAAACATGAGCCAGCAATGAGCATTCACAGCCCAGAAGGCCAACCATATCCTGGGTAGTGTGGCCAGCAGGTCAAGGGAGGTGATCCTACCCCTCTACTCCACTCTTGTGAGACCCCACCTGGAGTACTACATCCAGTTCTGGGGCCCCCAACACAAGAAGGACATGGACCTACTGGAGTGAGTCCAGAGGAGCCACCAGGATGATCCAAGGGCTGGAGCACCTCTGCTATGAGGACAGGCTGAGAGAGTTGGGGCTGTTCAGCCTGGAGAAGGTTCCAGAAAGACCTTATAGCGGCCTTCCAATACCTGAAGGGGCCTACAAGAAGGCTGGGGAGGGTCTTTTTACAAAGGCAGGTAGTGATAGAAAAAGGGGTAATGGCTTTAAACTGAAAGAGGGCAGGTTTAGATTAGATATTAGGAAAAAATTCTTTCTTGTGAGGGCGGTGAGGTGCTGGAACAGGTTGCCCAGAGAAGTTATGGATGCTCCCTCCCTGGAAGTGTCTAAGGCCAGAATGGATGAGGCTTTGAGCAACCTGATCTAGTGGAAGGTGTCCCTGCTCATGGCAGGGGGGGTGGAACTAGATGATCTTTAAGGCCCCTTCCAACCCAAACCATTCTATGAGAACAAGCTACCTTCTAAAGCTTTACCATATGCTGAGACACCCTCTGTGTGCTGGGAAACACCCTATTCTGCCATCAGTGATCACGCAGCTGAGCTATTATTGTCCAAGCACACAACTTCTTGGAGAGCAGCTGGGAGGAGGAAGCTGCCTCTGTCCTGACTCCTGACGTAGCAAAGACATGCACCATAAAAACATTCTTCATGACAGTACCATTCTGTGAGATCTCAGGGAATAGGTTTTCTTTTGTAAATATATACCTTCACAGGTACAAAACATAGACTTGTAACAACATGGATTATTTCAGAAATGCCTTTCACTTATTCTGTCTGTGAGAGCTACAAAAATATTACATAGGTTCTGTATGGACTACTCCCTAATTAAAGCTATTCCATTTTCTAAGAATGATTTTCCTCCAAATTGTCTTAATTTGTTATTTGCAAAGTCTTCTCTTACTTAAAAGTATCTTCTAGGATTTTAAACCCCAAACACTTCCTAGTTCCTAGGCTGCCCCAACACTACACATTATTGCTTAGAAGCAAAAAAGGTCAAGTCCAGATGACATCTCTCTCATAGCAACACTTTTGTTTACTCTAAACTAAGAAATTAATGAAGTAGTGTTCCCTCCCTTTTCTTAAGTGTGCCTTATGCTGTGCTAGAAGGGCAGAGAGCTAAGTGCCCTTAATTAATAACTAGAGTAGCAGATTTACAGTGCTTTGGAAACCTGATCCCACTCAAGTCAATGAAAAAATTCTATTGGCTTCAGCAGACTTTGTTGAGGTTAATTCTTAAGCCCATAGTTATTGACCTTCTGTGCTAACAATGCTGGAGTCCAACTCTTGCAGATGTCCCACACAATCTTTACAACCCTCCTGAACTTCCAAACCTGAGAACAGCTCCAGCCCTGGTTTACCTGGAAACCTCTGCACTGTCTGCAGGACTTACCTATCAACGTTAAATTAAATCTGCCATGGATAGATGGGTGACAAGATTTACATCAGCATTACTTACCAGTTCCAGTGCTACATCAACTATAAGGTTCTGATCATCCAGGCATAACACATGTTTAGAGGACAAATCACCAGATATCACACGCAATTTTTCTTCTTGGACTTTTTTCTTAGAAAGGCCGATGGTAAAAAAATGTATTCCAAGACTCCTAGCTGCTGTGGCTATACCCTGGACACTAGGGCTGTTTGGATGATCCACACCATCAGTCATCAAAAAAGCCACTTTCACACTTCTCTTACGACCTTCAGTTTTAAACAGCTGAGTGGCATTGGAAATCGCATAATAGGAGTAGGTGCCGTGGCCAATAAAACCCAGAGACCTGATTTTCTCTTTAAAATTCTGCACATTTTTCCAGGCTGTAAAGGGATGATCAATGCTGACTGTGCTGCTGAATTGCATACTTGCTAGTTTGACATTATACTTCTGAGACTTAACTGGCTTCATCTGGAAAATGTTGTCAGTTAAATTTTGAACAAAATTCTTCTGTAAATCAAACAACTGATTTTTGGCACTTTCTGAACTGTCCAAGATAAAGACTATGTCAACAAGACACATATCACCTGTAACAGAACAAGAAAATTAAATCTATAATGATAGGCACACCTGCACAACAGATTTCACATAATTCTCTGCAACAATCTCAATCCTCAAACAGTTTCCCCAAAGATTCCTCTGTCTTCCCAGTAAAAATTCTAAGGATAAATTTCACTGTAAATGCCAAGAAATTCTACTGAAGTCAAGTAATTAAATTTAAGTTACTTTAATTCATACCAGTATTATTGCATACAGCCTACAGACAAAAACTTTCAAATTAGGGTCTTGATGGGGTTGTTTTAGCATTTTATTTGATTTTGTATACAAAATTTTCCACATGCAATTTCAAACTAAAAATTAGGTTCATTATCATTTATCTTAAAACAGATATGCATGTCAATGAAAATCATATATCAAACTGGACTCCATGACCAAGTAAATGTCACCACAGTATTTTCCAGGCCTGATAATTAAAATAAATAACATTTAATAAATGCATACATAACTTGTCAATTACTAGCTAATTATCCTGAAATATGCAGAGACATATAACATGGCCAATCAGAAATTTTAAGGAAATGGTTTTACCTTCACGTTTTTGCATGAGAGAATAAGGATTATTTTCTTTCTTTCTGTTTTGCCCATATACTATCTGGTTTGTTATCACAGCCAGAAGTAAAAAGCAAAAGAAAAAATGTTTTTTCCACATAGTGACTTTGATCCCAAATTAGATGACTTTTCTGTCCTGTTAAAAGTAAAAAAAAACCACAACCAATGAAGTGAATATACTTCATTAATAGATGCAAATAAATACAGATACTTTATAAACAGAATACACATTTGTGGTAAGCACAATCCTAGAGACAATATAGCAAAACCAATTATAAAAAGTCACCGAGTAGGTGATTTGACCATAGCAGCCAGTACAATCCCAACTGTAGCTCACAGGTATATTAGAACCTATTTTATTAGAAAAGAAAAGTGGGTAGAACAAACACAGTGCTCTCTTTTCTTTCTTAAAAAAAGTCAATGCTATCTTTAGTTTTCATTTGAACATCTAATAAAGAAGGGTAAAAGCAATTGTTAGTAATGTATATTGCTATTAACACAATTTTCTATTAAACTAATAGAAATATTATAGAAAACATAGAATATAGGTTGCTTCTAGAAATCCCTGATTGTTAGGTATAAAGATAGATCTGGTTGTTCGGTGATGCAGATATATTACCTGGGTCTGGAGCATCAGAATGAACAACTTAGTCTTCTAAGAAACAATGGCTTAGTAGTGAAACTCAATATATGAATGTGTTATTAATGTTACGTTGCTGTAACAGAATGTTAATTTCCATAGAGACAGTATTATATTATAATGACAATATACACTAATAAAATGAACATCACAACATTTAAGTCAGCGATTCGACATATTTCTGGAGAAAAATAAACACCATTAAAACTTATTTACAAAAAATGCCTGTATTTTACAATAATTCATATGAAATATAATTAATAACAAAAATAATATATTAAACTTAAATATCCTTCTTAAATCCTCTTTTCATGTCCATTAAGCAGTTATATATACAGAAACCATCAGTACAGTCCTCTAAAAATAGAAAGGAAATAACTAAGTCTCTTACCTTTGAAGGCATTCAGAAAGTAAACCGTGGATTGAATAAGCTGTCAGTGTAGAAAATACGTCCAGTAGGTCATACTGGTAAATATGTTTTGTTCACAAAAATAAAGCAATCTGTAAATAAATAGACTATCCACTTGTAGATGGCTCTACCTTGCATCTAGATCCTTTATGGTCAATTCTTGCTGTTTAGCTGGCCAAAGTTTAAATGAAGATAGTCAGGCACTTAGCCAGAACCGAGTGGGAGATCAAGCCATTTTATTAAAGGGACAGTGTCAGTCTGGGAGCATGAGTGTTTTCCCATTTTAAATAGCTGAACTTTTACATTTAAAAACTCCCTTCTAGACAGTCTGCATCTTTACCCATCAATTTGCCAGCCACATCTCTTCAACTTGCCCATGTTGCAGCATTGGCTAGATCAGAGATGTGAGATGAGTACATTGCCACTTGTAGGCTAGAACTGAATTCTGACCCAACGGTTTGTGAGTCAGGACTGTGAGCATGTCTCAAAGGTGATAATTGCATTAGCAATTACAATACTAATAGATAACTTAAAAAAAAAAAAAAAAAAAAGTCTTCCTGAGCTGTTTTCCTCAGAAATTCTTTCTGCTCTTTAAATCCTCTGAGGGGTCAGACACAGACAGGATATCTAAAAGGGGGCTGTCATTTAGGTAGCTCCCAGCATGCTGCATGGAAATTATATTTGCTCTAGCTAATGGCAGCCTTCAGAGTAAAATTCTATTGTCACAGCATTAAGCTTTTTGCTTAATGTCAGGGTGAGAGAAGGTATGGCAATGGTAAGTCTCAAGGAATCATGACATGCTTTGAAGGAGTCTCATGCAGATGCCCAGCAGAAGGCCATTGCCCAGCCCCTGGAGAGGCATTGCCTACCAGGCAAGACATTCCTTGGTGCCTTGGTGGCAGGACGGAAAGGGGAGCTCCTTTGCATTGTGCTGCAGAAGGGAGGACTCGGGCTTCATCACTGCTATGAATCAGGTCCCTGGACTGCTATGTGATTAAGCATTGAAATGTTTCAGTTACAGATTTAAAAAAATTAACAATAATTCGGGCATTTCAAAAACATGTGGTAAAAAGCTGGTTTCGACTGAAACAGATTTTTTGGCCAGTCTTTCATCAAAAAGGTAGAATGCATATAATGTATAAACAGTTGTTTATTAACCACCTGACTGTACTGAATAGCTTTTAAAAAAATCTACCTAAATGCCATGTAAATTGCACCCTTTAACTTTTCTCAAGACAGATTTTTTAGACTTGTGATCACCTTGGCAGCTTATGTCTGAGACACTACTTTTAAATGCACCACCAAAAATAGATTAACTGTCTAATTCTATAGGACAGTAATGTTGTGTATTCATTGCTTTTTTGTGTTTATAAACCCAAAGACTGTGTGTGCTCTTTTTGTTCCAGTACCTGATGGAAGTTTCAAAGTGAAAGGAATACCACTCATTACCAGAAGACACTTTCAGCATAGCAAGTAGTGGGCAAAGCTTAGGAACTGTTGCCTTATTAAAAAAATATGAAAGCTGAGGCTTTGCATTCTCTATAAGTAATTTCTGCTTTTTTAATTTTGTAGGAAGAGCACATCTAAAAGATGAAAAGGAAAAGGCAGACAATATAGAATTTCTAAACTTTTCTTTTGATATTGCAGAATTAATCAGTTTATTTAGTAGAAACAGAGTGAATACCATGCTTATCAATTGCCTTTCTTGAAGGCATTTAACTATCAAAGAAACGCTGAAACACATCTGTTTATTCTGCATCAAGCACAGCTCTTTCACATGGAGAAAGCTTTAGAAAGCTTTAGAGCACATGCCTTTAGAAAGCTGTTAGAGCACAACATGGTAGAGTGCAAATACTTGCCCTCAAAGAATTCCGTCTCCTGATCAAGAAATTCCATTAACAAGGCTGATGGTTTGCTACAATCCAGATCTTATTATGGGGAACAGAGAGAAAGAGAAAGAAAAAAGAAGAACTATAAATCAGAAGATTAACATTAATGCTGTTTCATACGCTAAATTCAAAATGCAAAATACTAAAGCCAATTAGTGATTCCCTAAGCCTAAGGCAACAAGAAAGGCTTCTATAAATATGCAAGTAGCAAAGACTAGCTTTCTGTGATTATAAATCCACTGAATTATGCCTGAAGCAGTCTATCTACTACACCCATATAAAACCAAATCTGTTAAAATTAATGGGAGATATTTTCCCTACGGCAAACTAAACAAGGTAGGGAAAACTTTTCCCTCCTGCAGAATCATGAGAGCCTCTTTTCTAACCTAAGTGAATTTCATGCAATGAGTCTTTGAGTTCTTTGGCTATTTTCTAATGGATTTAAAACAGAGATCTAAGTTTGTGCACCTTTAATGATAAACAGGAGCCATGCAGCCCTTGGTGGCATCTACCACCACCACTCCCTGACACACATACACATGGTATGATGTTAACCAAAACTGACTGCCCTAAATCTACATATTTTTTTCCCCCAGTACACTCTTCACTCAATAAGAATGACAATAGGTACTATAAAGAACAGTAGATTTTTTTTTTCTGGCAAGGAGACATAGCTAATGGATGCAATTTGAAGCACATATTTTAAACAGATTTTAAAACCCACTGTTCCTAATACTAGATATATCTTAATTCAGTGCCATATACACTATGCAAGTGAAGGCATGATTCTATAATTTTTTAAAATCAGATTGCAATAAACATATCAAAAGGATTGTTTAGTTGCTGAATTGAATTTATGTAAGCTATAAAGATATTTATGCTATCTAAATCCTGCCCTCTGGTGTATCTACATGATAATGCATAATGATAGTATTTCATAGGAGGTGACTCATTCAGCGTTTAATCAGGACACAGCTAGGAAATGAGGCTACTATCTGGGTAAAACATTTATCCCCTTGTAATAGAAGGCGGAAGCTAAAGACTAAGATATTAAAAGACTAAGATACGATGCTTGAAGGAGGTAGGATATGTCCTGGAAAAAAATTGTTACACTCCTTAGTTCCCAGCTGATCCTGAGAAACTAAATACTCATTTCACACATTCCTCTTTTTGACATACCTGGATTAGGACCACCAGGACCTGATATACGGATCTGCTGAGCACTACAAAATCAATGAAAGCTGAAAGTGATCAGTGAATGTATCAGGGAGGTAGTACAATCTGCTGAAGTACAGCTCCGGGTTTTCAGAGAATTCAAGTGACGGTCTTGTTGTGTCACTTTGAAACACATGTAATATTGGCCATAAAAATGTTCCTCATTAGTCTTACGATAAATTATTACTTACGATTATAAGAAAACAGAGCAAGGATTACAACAACTGTTCCAAAACAGACTTACTTTACTTCTTGACAGTCCGGTTCCTGAAATTCCACAATCCTCTTGTCCCTAAAAAAAAAACCGAAACCAAAACAAACCCCAAAATTTAAATTTAGAATAATTTTTATAAAATTTTTACTTCACTGACAGTTTGCAAAGCAAAGATGACCAAAGTTTTAATGTGTGGCAATCATATCATCTGTTGCGTGGCCACTCTGTGGTTAAAAAAATTATTAGTTTGAAAAAGAGCTTTGGTCAGGCCCAGCAATGAGGAGCCTGGTTAGAATACAGCGCATTTTACCTTCAGAGCCTTTAAATAACACTTTGTAAAGCCTGTACACTAGATTTATTTTTGTAAGCACCTGGTGACCAATGTTGCTTATCATTATGATTGATATAGTTCAAGAGGAGTTTTCTCTATAACAGTCAACTACTAGTAGTGATACAAACCTTTTATTTCATGAGTTTCCCTAGAAGAACAGGAGCTCTTAATGTATAAAAAGGTTTGACCTCAGTCACATATACCCCTCTATCCTTTTAAAATCATGCTTTTTGTTCACAGGTTACCTTTGGACCTTGAATACCCAAACCTTGGGATCTCTTTGGTTCAGGTATTCCATCAGGACCCTGGATACCCTAAAAAGATAAGGTAGGAGATTAATTTCAAAACTTTCATAGATTAGTTTTGCTGTTAATAAATTAATTACCTTCAAAAGGAAATAAATGTGTC